AGAATCAAAGATAAATCAAACGTAAATGAGACTTAGTTATTCTATTGGGAACCTTTTACCACAAATTTGTCTTTGGACCCACATGTCACCTTGTCGGCATAGGCATGTATGTCTGGGATATTACAATTTCCGGTACGTAACACCATATTTTACGACGAATGTACCACAATCTTTTTTTTTTACTACTTCATTGTTATCAAGTCTGTGTTTTATATGCTCGTCGACAACTCAAGATTCCTAAACCGACGCAGAGCGCCGCGCTTATGTAATAAAAGAGATTCGACAGCACCCTAAGACAATGGCACTTTTCAAATTGACTGCTACAGGGCCGGCCCTCGGCATAGGCAGTATAGGCGAATGCTAAGGGCGCATCAACCCATATGGGGTGCCGAAAATTGGGGAGAAAAAAAAAAAAGTTAGAAATAAAAAATATATATTTTTAAAAATGTCATAACAACACAATTTCCCGATTTTGGATCAACAAAGTACATCTTATTATCTTGTACTAACAGAACTAGGCCTATATTGCGTACAGCGCCCATAAACTATGGCACACACCCCACCCCCCCCAATCCAATCAAGTTGAACTGCCCCAGCCCCAGTAAAAACCAGAGGTTTATGTGAAATTGTTCTTTTTTTGAAATAATGGTTTTAGTGTGCAATTACAGGTTTTAATTTTGTGTTTGTGTTAATTTAAAATGAATCAAACTCCCCAAAAACATATACAGCTTCTGTGTGCTTTTATTAACATTGGAATTTACTGTGTAAGCGTCCGCGGGGGGGAGAGCTTTAGAGAGCTCTCTCCCGAAAGACTGAGCGGCTCTGATAACCTCAGCTCAGTGAGGTAAAGGCACCCCTTTATGTGATCATTATAGCTATAAAAAATCTTGCCTACGGCAGCAAATTGGTCAGGGCCGGCCCTGGTATTATTGCATGAGAGAGGTTCCAGGTTGAATTGAGGCGAATATTTGTAATGTTCAGAGGTTGTTGTGTTTAATATTCATGACAATATTTGTCATTGTTCAAATGATAAACTAACATTTGCATAAAGCATATTTGTCCACTCATATGTTGATAAGAGTATTAAAAACTTGAAAAATATTCCTCTAAGGTACATTTAGAACAGATCAAAAATGTGCGATTAATTTGCGATTAATCACGATTAACTATGGACAATCATGCGATTAATCGCTATTAAATATTTTAATCGACTGACAGCCCTAATAAATATCTTACATTTGAAAGACTGAACATTGTTTGAAGCGTCCCTTGGTGTTGTCGCCAACCCTAACCCTAACGGATTCCACAGATTTTAGCAGATCCGTTGTTACAGAAATATTTACTTGGCCAAACAAATCTCACGAGGGCCTTCATATCTAAAATAATGTTTCTTTAATGATAAAAAAAGCCTCTACCATAATAAACAAATGCATCTTTGATGATACCTGATAATGGACACCTACTCTGTTCAACGTAATAAATAAAGGGTTGTGGTCTGCCTGTTGTCCATTAAATCCGTATCATTGACACCTCATGGGGCAATTTACATTGCATACATGTAAACGTATCTAGCCGCTCATGTGATATGCAGATAATGGTTCAATGACCTACTAGCTCATTATCTTTACGCATTAAACACCAGTTATTGGTATTTCATCTGTTCTTGACTTATATCTTGTTTCTAGTTGGGTTCCGTTGGTAATTGGCATTGGGATACTTTATCTTGTATATCTGACTGTAATATCATGCTGCTGCAATGCCAATTAATTTTGTAATCTGATGTGGGTATGAAACTGGCTACTTGAAACTGTAAGACATTTTTATGGATTGTTTCTCATTATCCAATTCCACCTTGGCACTGTCTCTCAAAACTATGTAATTCCCTTGCTTCTTTTTTAGTTCCATTATTTGTCTTTCTCGCTGTCTTCGTCATTAAACATATAACTGTTGTTATTTTAGCTTGCGGTACTGTAATGCATATCACACTTGACCTTTTATGATGAAATTGCTCAGGCAATTGCAGTGGTCGAACGTCTTTTATTTAAAGAAAAATACGGTGAGGCTGTGGCTCAGTAAGTAGTTGGTCGTTCTCCAATCAGAAGGCCAGTGCCCCTGCAGGCAAAATGTTGATGCATCCTTGGGCCAGATAAATAATTGCTTCGGATAACGAATAGTGTGTTTTAATGTGTATGAATGTTAGTCTCCCTGATCAGGTGGCACCTTGTATGGCAGCCTCCAACACACTCTCACTCCATAATCCTCCAGGAGCAACGTTTGGTCAGGGTCCCGTGGCCAGCAGTTGTGACGCTCCTAGGCTCCTTCAGCTTCATAAAGGGACGCAAATAGCTTTCAACTGATTGCAATGTATTCCCATCTGCAGCGGGATTTGACACTCATGGAAGCACGGCATTCGTTTGTGTCGGCTGCCCTTAAAGGCAATGTGAGCGTCCATTCCCATTGGATAACGGAGAATTGTACACCCGGAAGTAAGTATTCCCCTTACTGTCGATTGATTTTCCAGTGATATCTGCACTACTCATCGACTAAAAAACACCAGATTATCCTTGTTAATTACACATTGATTGGTTTAAATTGTGTGCAATGCTTTTGTATTTTTCCCCTTCGATTCGGAGAAACAAATATTTTTTCGGAGTAAAGGATGGCAGAAGACACTACACTACCCAGAATCCCCAGCTATCGTTTAGAACTACACCATCTGCTCTCACGTGATCTTCAAATGTCTCCCTGCAGAAAGAAAAAAACATGGCAGAATTTCGTTTTATTCTCGGTGGAAAATGCCTATTTTAAAGTTAGTTTGGCCATTAAAATGAGTTTTGATGTCATTTAATGCGAGAAATATGAGTTTTTATTTCAGATTATGTGTGCAGTGGATGTACATGATCTTTAGTTTGCTAGTTATTACGAAGATTACTTCAGGAAATTGCGTCCATAGAACGTTTTCATCGTTACCAAGGTGGTTGCTAGGGACGCTGCTATTTCTGTTATGTTGTGTAACTGTTTAATGGTGTTATCTTTATTGCTACCCCCTTCCCCGTCAATGTATAGTGTTGGTCCACAGCGCAAACGTATTAGTTTAACAAAATCCGCATCTAAAGATACGTTATTTTCCCCTGTGCAATTCCAGTCTCACATCTCACATCACATCGTCATTAACAAATACCGGAAACAGACCGAAAACATTTAAAAAAATAATAATAATACTTTATTCCGAGTGTGCTTGCTTTTCTCTTTGAAAGTCATCACATAACGGCATTGTAATACACGGTTCAGCTGCATTAAATATTACATATCTGCCGTAGTTCTCTATTTATAGAGCCCTGATGAGAAGACTTCTAGACAAACATGAGGAACTGCCACCAACACTGAAAACGTGACGTGGATCATAAATATATCAGCAATTAAACAACATCTTACATTTCTTTTCACACAATACGTCTCTTCGCAGTATCAACACTAATTCGGCTGACTTTTATATTTGATCCAATTGGTAGATAGGCTGTATTTACACCATAAAGGTGCACAGCTGATATAAAGGGACACCTGGTGGTTAAAGCATGTTATTTAATTTCATTATTTTTATTTTTAGATATTAATAGGATCCCTATAAAGTATATTCATTACTCGTTATTCTCTACTAATAGTTCATTAAAGACTGTATATAATGACTATTTTGCACATCCCTTTCCCCCGACGTTTAACAGATCTCGCCGGGTACGTAATGCCATGTTGATCACCAGCCGTAGACAGCCGGTACCCAAAGTAGTAGTTGACCTTCTTCTCGACAGGAGAAGGGAGGGGGGGGTCTAATAATATAATAGACCCTCACCTTAAGTTGAGTCCAGCGTACTCTCGTGCTGAGAGTGTTCGCTTCTCACCTCTTAAGACTGTCGAGAGGAGTCCCGCGGCAGGTGGTGGGTGCGTCCCCACCACTGTCGGAGAGGTACTACGTCGAACAACCGGTACCTACAGTCTGACGCAGTGCACGCACTAGGTGACCCCAAGAGAAGTACTCCTCTCAAGTCCTCCACCAAATTAAGCGGACACGTAGCTGGGCACGACCAGTCTCCTCTGCGTACCGAAATGTAAGAGCCAGGCACCCAAATCTTAGACTGGGAATTGACCTTTTTTTAGAGGTGTAGGACCAGCCACCGCCCAACCCGGGAGCCGGTCCCCACTGCAGTGCTTGTGGGGAGCCACGAAAGTGTCTCCGTAGAGAAGAGTCCCCACCCTCCTTGCAGGTTCTATCAGTATCGGTCACCCCGCCTGTCACCGGCGGAGTGTACAAGGGAGGTATATTTGCAACGAACCTTTTTATAGTGTATAGGCATTACTTTCATTAGGGTCGTGAAGCGGGGGCAAACGACACCTAGTAGTACCCAACTAAGCGTTGTTATTGGGTCCACGTCGGCCGTCGGATGTATTTAGCAGTCCCTCCACATGCTTAGTCCGGCGTCGGACGATTGTGTCCGTCCGCTGACAAACACGACCTGCGGTGTGTGTATGAGAGACAGTCTCGGGTCACATCATAAGTTCCACTCACTTGTCTCGCCCGTCTGGGAGTACCAGGTCTCCTCGCAGGGAGCTGTTCCCGTGACCTCCGGAGGTGGGGCTCGACCGTAGAGGGTCCACGAACCCTCGTCCAAGCCCTCTCGCCTCCACCGTAGACGAAGCGACGTGCGCCGCTTACGCGTTACGACGATGAGACCAAGAAGGGAACTCTTACGTCCTAGTGGGGGGGGGACCCCCCACCTGCGCAAGCGTGTGTTCTGGAACCGGGTCCACAATAATATACCGAAAGGTGGTCAGGGAGACTAGGAGCCAAACGGACCCTGGCCCTCACGTCCCTCCTCACTGACTATCGCCAGAATTATCCGGAGGCCTCGCGTTCCTCGCGAAGGGAACCAGAGGTACGTATGTTCCGCGCTAACGACGAGACCCCTCCTGGCGACCTTTAAGGAACCGCGTCCTACGGAGAGAGGGTCCGACCTCCCCTCGCTAGTTCGCCCAGTGGGGTCACAATCCGGTTTGCAAAAACACCCGTAAACCCGGGACTTGCCCTTGTGAATCCCCTCCCGACCCGGGAGGCTCTACCAACACTCATGGTAAGTCCGCTAAGTTCCCGGCGCAGGTGGTCCCGGCGAAGTAGTTCGGTTTACCCTTCGTTAGGTCGCGACGCACACATCCCGTTTTCGGACCTGGGGGGCAATCCACGGACGGGAGTTCACGACAGTAGGGGTCCAACGACCTGTCGCTTAAACCGGAATATCGTGCGCATTTTGGTTGGGTCAGAAGTGTTTTTTTGCCACACATATTGAATGCAAACCAGTGTTGCCATCCCTGCGAAAAAAGATGGTTTTTGCGGAAGCTTTAGACATCCCTAGGGAAAAAAGTGGGTAAGTAATGGTTACCGACGCGCAGAGACGAGTGCAACCTAAAAGTTAAAGAGGGGACGTCCTTTTTTTTTTTACCGACTTGAAGCAAAAAATCAAAACCGGTAATGTTTACTCGAAACATACAGTAAACTACGCGTCTTGTATAACAAATAAGTCTAATACACACGGTCGACCTACATGTACTAGAAATCGAAACGATCAATAATGCTTCCCCTAACGAAGTCCCTTAACACAGCATATCGTTGCAAAAGTAAACAATGGTTCACAGTTAGAGTGTAGTGTAGCAGTACTTTTTTTATGGCGCGTTTGTCTGGCTTTTGTAAATTTTTTTTATTTATTTATGAAATTAAAGCTCAACACGAACGAAAAGGGAGAACCTCAGTAGTTGTAATTGCCGTAACAATTTATGTGCGCAAGCCGGACGCGTATTTAATAAGATGTATAGACCGGCAATCAAGAGGCATAAATATCTCGGGACTACTCTTCTGAAGATCTGTTATGTACTTTCCTTTGAACGGTGGTTGTGATTTGCACCTGCACCGTAGTATTTATATGGTCGTTAATTTTTTGTAGAAAACGTAAAGAAAAGTGTGTCATGCAGATGGAACGTCATAGTTTGTGAATTAAGCCGACTGGAAAAATAAACATAGGTTACCATCCTATCCGACATAAATGTGGTATTTTGCCACGTGTCGACTATATTTCCCCTGTGGATCCACCAATTTCGTACAATAACTTAAAAAGTAATAAAAGATAATATCTTTAATTAATCGCTAGGGATAATTTTATATGTAATTGAGCAATAAGGATGATTATCAATTAATTTCTGACATATATTACTGATATGTTAGTTATTTATCGTAGTTGCCGGGACAACAATTAACTATTCGGACTTTGTACGTGAACAGTTCAAAGCTCCGTTTTAAAACGTTTATCCGTTCAAAAATCGGTAGCCGTAGTAGAATTCTATTCTATATTAATACTAACTAGGGTTTCAAAACCTTTGTAGAACGGCAGATGTAGTCGTACGACATTGTCAACGCAGTTTATTACGTCACCACGAAATAACATTTAGTAAATCTATTAGTGTGTTTAAGACACACAATATATAACTTATTAAAGACACAGAAAATAGAATAACTAAGAAGTTATGGACTGTTCTGTGGCGCTCTATTTTATACGATGTGATGTAGAATATTCTCATATTGTGTACATATATTAGTGCAATTTTATTCACGAAGTTGTATCGTAATTGTACGACCTCAATACGTGTTATAACTGATCTACCAGAACATTATGTGATATTCCTTGGCACGCTGGTTCGAGAAAAGTTAAGTAACGTAATTGATGGTGACAAACACATAGTAACTATACAGTTAATTTGGAATCCTTTTAGAA